TTAAACTCAATATTTGAATTCGAGATCTCTGATTAAAATTCTCGGAATAATTGTCGGCAAGTGTTTAGGATGCTTAAGTTGGTTACCTTTAACTTTATAGCCACATTATGAGTTTTTGCAGGAAATGGACCCATAAATTATTGGCCATTTTTTACAGGAGTTGAAAAGGACATTTAAAAAAAAAATATAAATCCAAAAGTATCAACTTTGGAAAACTTTGGATTTTGGAGTATACACAAAATTACTCAAATGGCTATAGAAGAATTATAGTTTGGCATTATTAATTACTCCCTCGGTCCTATTTTACGTGACACTATTTGACTTGGCATGGAGTTTAAGAAATAAATAAAGATTTTGAATTGTTTACCAAATTGACCTTTAAAAGTGGATTCACTTTTCTCTCTCCTCATAAATATATTAGAGTACTATTTGAAATTAAGTGAAACCAACAACGGTAAAACAAGAATTGTACCTTTAAATATTTACCATATAAAGAAATGTGATATTCTTTTTGGTACTGACTAAAAAAGGAAATAGTATCATATAAAATGAAACGAAGAGAGTATCATATTGGATCCTTTTTATAAAGAAAGAAAAGAACAATTGGTAGCTTAATTGTCATGACATATTGTGATTTTTTTCACTTTAATTTGGATTAGATGTTCAAATCATTTTTCAAGAGTTATGACTATACATTCGATTAATATTGATATTGCGATAAAATACTCATAATATTTATTGTTCTTTAAGAAACGTGCAAAATTCAAAATGAATAGATAGAAAAAAAGTATATAGTAGTTTATCGAACTCGCTCAAAATGGAATCTACAGTATTTAATATAAGTATATGACAACTTACAAGATTAAAAGAAATTAGGATTACTTTTAATTTACAAATTAAAATATGTTTGGCTATTAAAAGTAAAGAAATGGATACACTATTGGTGATTGGACAAAGGTGATCCAATGCCATATGAATCACAAGTTACATAAGAATTCCATTGGTCGAAGTAGAGCTGTCAAAATGGGTTGATCCAATTCAATTTTATCGGGTTAAAGAGTTAAATAAATTAGAATGAGCTGATCCGTTTAATCAAAGGACCTATAAAATAGCAATCCAATACAACTCTAAGCGGGCCATGGATTGGGATGAATTAACCCTTCAACCAAAAAACAAATAATATTTTTTTGTAAAGAATACGAATGTTGATAAATTACACATACATGATAACCAAGATACAACATCCATAGAATCATCTGAGCAAAAAATATTACATGATCACTATTTTCATAAACAAGACAATAAAGGAGAAGCGAAAAATTAGACATAAAAATAAAAGTAAAAGAGGTTAAAGATTTATAGTAATAATGGAGTAATGGACTTGGGGTAATAAGAAAATTTAGTGGACTAATGACCCTTAAATGTAAAAGATATGTAAAAAAATATAGTTTTAATTTTATATTGATATTTTAAAAATATTCATTGACAAAATCTTAACAAGTAAAACAAACACACACTTAAAAAAAAAAAATTCACAATCCGCGGGCTGACATTTAAGGCTTGTGAGTTGAGTTTACGAGGCTAGCGGACCAAATGAGGATGGGCTAAAAAGCCTCGTTTCTAAATAGGCTGAAAAAATTGAGCTCAATCCCATTTAATTCAAGGGTTGGATTGGGCCGTCCTTGCGAGCCAAATCCATTTTGACAGCTCTAGGCCGGAGTTTGGAGGTCTCTTCACTTCACGAATAGGCTTATGCTTCGACTTTGATTGTTATGGATCAGTATCAAGATCAGATTTTAAAATATGTGAATCTAATTTTAACAATTGAACCAGTAATAATGAAAATGAACCCTTCTTTTAACTTTTCTATGTTCAATGTAAAAAAGTCGAAAGCCTCTTTTGTTTGGCTGTAAAATACAAATTGCAAGGCTAAATTCAGATCTCCATAACTAGTTCAATATGAGAAATAATGCGTAAATTGAAATTAAGCTGACACTATGTGAATCGGAATAACATAAGCCTTTTTGTACTCGACAACACACTATATCTATCTAAGAGCATTGTTTTTTTTTTCTCTTTAATATATATATTATGCTATTATGGAAGCCTTTCTAGTATATACTTTCGTATAACTACTACTAGAACATGTAGTATTGGAGTATAAAATAGTAGTGAGGGATTTAAAAAGAATTTTTTTTCTCGCCTAAAATGATTTCGTATAACAAGATGAATGAATCGTTTATCAGTTTGAACTAAGAAGATACACTAGATTTTATTTTAGAAAATCGTTATATTTGAAACATTAATAATTGTGTATCGATACATTATAGGTTAGAGTTCAGAAAAAAAAACAAACTAATAAACTCGATCTTTTTCTAATGAACCTGACCTAATTATTCTCAGTTTGGTATATAAAATTTTATTAGTCAAAAACTATAAATTTAATATGATGTCACAATATTATAATAACAGCGTTTGTAGTCCAACGGTTAGGATAATTGCCTTCCAAGCAATAGACCCGGGTTCGACTCCCGGCAGACGCATAATTTTGTCTTATTTCATCTTTTCTCCGACTCGAAAATACTTTTTTCTCCGACTTGAAAATACTCCTTTATGTTATCGAGAAAATAACACAAAAAGTATCGACAGGGAGGAGAACAATAACATATTTTGTTTTATTTCATCTTTTCTCCGACTCGAAAATACTTTTTTCTCCGACTTGAAAATACTTCCTTATGTTATTGAGAAAATAACACAAAGAGTGTCGACGGGGAGGAGAACAACAACGTATCGAGTATAATCAATAACATTAGTGATATTTTATAATATTTTGTAATATTAGAGATATTTTGTAATATTACATCTTATTTTGTAATATTAGTTGTTTTTTTTTTTGACTTGAAAATACTCCTTTATGTTATCTAGAAAATAACACAAAAAGTATCGACAGGGAGGAGAACAATAACATATCTAGTTTTTTTTTCTCCGAGTTGAAAATACTTCTTTATGTTATTGAGCAAAATAACACAAAAGTATCAACGGGGAGGAGAACAACAACATGTCTAGTATAATCAATAACATTAGTGATAAAATTTCTATATTATTAATTTTTTATTAAACTATCTTCATTTAAAAGATTTATATACGACGTATCAAAATACATGATCAAGAATAGAAAATAATAGTAATTGAATTTCTTTCTATAATAAATCTTTTTTGTACTATCTCATTAAGAAATTTATAAACGATCTAAAAATTTTATTCATTATAGCGATTAAATGCTCAGATTTATAATTGATGAAAAATAAAAAGCCAAAAGATGGAATTTTTTAAGAATTCAATGAGTGAAAAAATTAGTTGTCAATTCTCTTTTTGAAAAGACAAATAGAAAGAATTAGAAAAAAATGATAAAAGAGCAAGAAATAAATGGTGAATGTGGAAATATAATAGAAAGAAGCACAAGTGTCTATCACACATCAAATGTCATAATAAGAAATCGAACCGTCGCATCATTTATTAATCGCGTTATACGTTAATCGTTTGATTCAATTTAGAAAAAGTAAAAACCAAAGAGGAGTAGCTTTTATATACTCCAACATCGACTTCTTGTATAATGATCTGAACTCATCGGATGTTGTTGTTGGTAGAGAAATAATAAAAGTTATACATTAATTGGTCAATCTAATATATAAATGAGAAAATTATACATAATGACAAATTATTAAATTATATGTAATGATACAATCACATTTTGATTTTTATTGTGCATGTAACAAACTGTTTGTCGGTTACTTCTTTTCTTCAAACTCTTGCTCGCCACTCTCCCTCTCTTGCTTCATCTCTCGCTCGCTCCTCTCACTTTTTTATACAAACACAAGTATATAAAATGCGTTTGTGTTTGTATAAAACGAGAAAAAATTGTATATATACATATATTTTTGTTACCCTCTCCCAGATCTCGCTCGCCACCCTCGCCTCTATCGCTTATACAAATAGAAATGAAATGTATAAATTGTGTTTCTGTTTGTAAAAGCGAGAGAAAATTGTATATACACATGCAAATACATATATATTCATCCTATATACACTGATAATTATACAATACAAATATTCCACTGCCTAATTTTCTTTTGTCTTTCTCGTTTTAAACATACACAAATTATACAATTGATTTGTGTATAACTGCTTTCTTTTGTTTATGTATAGCAAATTATACAATCGATTTCATTGTATATGTATAGTGAATTATATATGTATAACGAAATATAAAATATTATGTTTTCTATGGAGCACAATTATACAAATTTTACTATAGCATACAAATATGGATTTTGTGTTTGCTATATGTGAAGATTGCTCTATATAAAACATAACAAAATTTGCATACTCAAACATTAACTTCTCATCCAATGACCTGAACTCAATGAATGTCGAGAAATAAAAAAAAAGTTATACACTAATCAATCTATTCAATATAATAAAAAAAAAGAAGTAGCTTTTACGTACTCCAACACTGGCTTCTCGTCCAACGACTTGAACCCATTGAATGTCGTCGTGCTCACCAGAGAAACAAAAAAAAAGGTATGGTGACCATGGGGTCGAATATAAAACGTAACATAAAAAGCAATAACTTTTACGTACTCCATCACTGATTTCTCATTGCCCACCGAAAAGATGAAAAAAAGGTATGGTGACCATGGGGTGAGGGGCGAATATAAAACGTAACATAAAAGGAGTAGCTTTTACGTATTCCAACGACCTAAAACCATCGAATGTTGTCGTACTCAGCGGAAAAATTAAAAAAAAAGGATATGGTGGCTGTGGGGTTCGAACCCACGCGCACTTATGTGCAGAAGATCTTAAGTCTTCCCCCTTAACCACTCGGGCAAACCACCTGAACATTTACAAATTTCACTCTCAATTTATCTAATCACAAATTTTGTGTAGAATTATCTAGAAGCTTCTTCATCGTATATAGTCCCTCTTCATCTTCATCTTCATCTTCTTCTTCTCTACAATTCCAGAAGAAGAGAACTTTCCAGAATCTCAAATTGGTAATGGCAGAACACTTAGCTTCAATTTTCGGTACCGAAAAAGATAGAGTGAATTGCCCTTTCTACTTCAAGATCGGTGCTTGTAGACATGGAGATCGATGTTCCAGGCTCCACACGAAACCCAGTATTAGTCCGACGATTCTCCTCTCAAATATGTATCAAAGACCTGATTCAATTACCCCTGGTGTTGATGCTCAAGGCAATCCTATTGATCCTCGCAAAATCCAGGAACATTTTGAGGTATACCCATTAAGTAATTCTGCTGTAAATTACTGTTTTTGTTACGATTTGACATGGTTTATGATATGATTGCTTCTTTTGGGATATACCCAGTTAGTTTTTTCTGCTTTGTTGCTACAATTTGTTTGTTTCATGAAAAAAGACCTTTGTTTTAGGTGTTTTAGTATGAACCATAGATGAGTTTTGTGTGTTTTATGATATGGTTGCTTCTTTTTGAGGTATACCCAATTAGTTTTTTCTGCTTTTCATGCCCATCATGTTGCCTGGATTGACATGTTTTATGATATGATTGCTTCTTTTTGAGGTATACCCAGTTAGGTTTTTCTGCTTTACTTGTCTGTTGTTGCTACATTTTGTTTGTTTCATAAATAAAGAACTTTGCTTTAGGTGTTTTGTGTTTTATGAGATGATTGCTTCTTTTTGAGGTATACCCAGTTAGTTTTTTCTGATTTTACTTGTCTATTGTATTGACTACTGTTGGTATTATAGTAAGGAATGATAGTGCATTTGATATGTTGTATGATACAATTGCTTCTTCTGGAGGTATACCCAAATGGTTTATTTCTGATTTACTTGTCTATTTTATTGATTATTGTTGCTACAATTTGCTTATTTCAGGAAAAAGACCTTTGTTTTAGGTGTTTTAGTATGAGTGATAATGAATTTTGTGTGTCATATGATATGATTGCTTCTTTAGAAGGTAGTTAAGTTCTTCTGCTTTACTTGTCTGTTTTATTGGGTCATTGTTGCCTCTATATATGTGTGCTTCATGAAAAAAAGAGACTGTTATTGTAGAGGTATTATAGTATGAATGATCCGTGATTCGACATATTTTATGATATGATTGCTTCTTTTGGGGTATACCCAGTTAGATGCTTCTTTTTTCTTTTTTTTTGTGGTTGAAACTGGTAACTAGTTAGGTGCTTCTGTTTTATCGATCATTATTGCCACTATTTGTGTGTTTCGTGTAAAATGATCATGGATTTGATATGTTTTATGATATGATTGCTTTACTTTGAGGTGTACCCAGTTAAGTTCTTCTGTCTTATTGATCATTGTTGCCACTATTTCTGTGTTCCGTGTAAAAGAAACCTGTTGTTGTAGGAATTATAGTAAGGAATGATCATGAATTTGATATGTTATATGATATGATTGCTTCCCTTCAAGATTTAGCCAGTTAAGTTCTGCTTTACTTGTCTGTTTTATTGGTCATTCTTGCTAGTATTTGTGCAATTCATGGAAAAAAATGGAATTTTGTGAAAGATATTGTAGTATGCATGGTCGGGAATTTTGTGTGTTTTATGATATTGACTGCTTCTTTTGAGGTATGCCCAATTGTTTTTTCTTCGTTACTTGTCTATTTTATTGGTCATAGTTGCCACTATTTGTGCATTTCATGAAAGAAAAGACTGTTGTGTAGAGGTATTATAATGATCCATGATTTGACATGTTCTATGGTATGAAATATGACTGGTTATTTTTAGGTATACCCAGTTAGGTCCTTGTGCTTTATCGATCATTATGGCCACTATTTGTTTGTTCCGTGTAAAAAGCCGTTGTTGTGGGTTTTTTAGCAAGGAATGATCTTGGATATGACATGCTCTATGATATAATTGCTTCTTTCAAGGTATACCTAGTTGTGTCTTCTATTTTATATATTGATCATTGTTGCGACCATTTGTGTGTTCCATGTAAAAAGATCGTTCTTGTAGGTATTATAGTAAGGATTAAGGAATGATCTTGGATTTGACATGTTTTATGATATGATTGCTTCTTTTGAGTAAGCTTTATGTTGAATTGGAATTGAAGCAGGGCATTGCTTTTTAGTGGTCCATAATGCTCCCTCCACCCTGAAATAGTTTTTTGCTAAGGTATTACTTATTTTGGGATGAAGGGCGTAGTAGTTAGCAAATAGCTTTGCACTTTGTGTTCTTAGAAAATATATGAGATGTAACCAATTGGATATTTGAGATATGACTTGTATGGTACTGTGGCAGGATTTTTATGAAGACTTGTTTGAAGAACTGAACAAGTATGGAGAGATTGAGAGCCTGAATATTTGTGACAATCTGGCTGATCACATGGTAGGTTTTTTGTGCTTTCTTGTAGTCATCCATTGACTGTGACTGGGGGTTTCAACTATGTATTAATGTACCCTGTGCAGGTTGGTAATGTTTATGTTCAGTTTAGTGAGGAAGAGCAGGCTGCAAATGCACTGAAGAATCTTACTGGGAGATTCTATGCCGGTAAGTTTCTATTCTTTCAAACCATATCAGTGATAAAATATTTGAATAGAGGACAAAAGAATTCAAAATGGTGAAAGAACGTGTCATGTATGAATTTTATTATCTGGACCAGGTTCATAACTACATACAACCAAGAGTGTTCAATTGAACACCCTTCGCTGGAAATTATGTTGTGTGTAATATAGGTGATAGAACTGCTAAGGCGAATGACAAGGAGGAGGTGTCTGCTAAACGGCAGAGAGCATGAGGAAAAGTTTATTACTATGTTTTATTCCAATCCCCACATGTTCTTGTAAGGGAAAATTAAATGTTCCGTCCCCATCCCACATATTTTTTCAAAAAGCTCATTTTATGTTGTGCAAGTTCCGAGGCAGCAATCTAAATTTTGTTTTTTATCACCCTTTACCACCATGCTAAAGTATTAGTTGTGTAAAGGGTGTTCAATGTTTAGTGTGTATCAATGAATGATAGATTTTGACCTATATACTACATAATTTATGGTGGCTGTAGCTCTCCGAGTCTCCAACCCTGATTGGAGCATATAGCCCGTCTTGTTCAGTTTGTCACCAATAGTTCATAATGTGATTATTTTCTCTCTTTGGTAATAAACTCTGCAGGAAGGCCCATCATTGTTGATTTCTCTCCTGTGACTGATTTTCGTGAAGCCACCTGTCGACAGTACGAGGAAAATGTCTGCAACCGCGGTGGATATTGCAACTTTATGCACCTCAAAAAGATCAGCAGGTTATTTCCACTCTATGCAAAATATTAACAATTCATTTATAAACAGTAGTCTTAGAAATTCAGTTGTAACTGACTTGTCTTTTATACCGAGTAATTAGGGAATTGCGACGTCAGTTGTTTGGAAGGTATAGGACAAGGCACAGCAGAAGCAGGAGCCGAAGCCCTTATAGGCATCGCAGCTATGAAGACCGCTCTCACAGGAGTCATAGTAGAAAGCATGATGAAAGAGACCATTATTATGAGAGTCGGAGCAGGAGGAACAGAAGTACAAGCCCTGACCACAGGAGGGGTAGGAGTAGGAGTCCCGGTGGCAGGAGAGACCGAAGTCCAGTTAGGGATGGCAGCGAAGAGAGGCGCGCAAGAATTGAGCAGTGGAACCGGGAAAAAGAACAGGCAGAACTTGATAACAGGGCTAATGCAGACAGTAACTACAAAAATGAAAGCAATGAGAATGGATCTGCTCCTAACCAAGATCAATATTATAATCAACAATGACAAGAAAGTGCATATGGATAATGAATGAATATATCGTGCTGGTTTGTGTCCTTATCCCTTATGATTTTTGATGCTTTTGTTCTGTCCTAATGTATTGTCTTCTGAGAGGGCCACCTGCCGTGTAATAGAGCTTAATGCCCATTTTCTACTTGCAGGGGGTGCAGGTTTTCAATTCTTTGATAAGCTATCTGAAAAGTTTTCGACCTTTAATTTTTTTGGTGTTCTGGCTTTAGATATGCTTCTTTTTGTGCATCATTCGTTGTTTGTTATTGCATCTACCCTTTGAATTATTATTTCAAGTTGAAATAGTGGTTTGAACATAAATTATCATTGAATTTGTAGACTTGAAGTTCCACCCACAATTTTCAACTGTCACAAACTTCTTATCCCAAAAACATAGCTATTTGAACACAACTTCAACCACCTGCCCTAAATGTTTGTGTCATTTCAATTTGTTTTACAATTTTGAACTTCTGTTGAGTGTTATAGGGTGTATACATTTTTCTTTGACTTATTCGTTTTGATGTGAAATTCCTCAACATTTATCCTATGTGACATTGTTCAAATTTCACAAACTATTGTGTTATTGTTTGGGAGAAAAATATGTTGTCACAAAGTTTCAAAAACTTGTCGAATTGGTGGTAAATTCTCTGCACTGTAATAATACCAGTTTCGAAAAAAGAAAAGAAAAAGGAACTCTGAATATCATACCACTTCTACATGTGCTATCATCAAATGAATGCTCATCATTAATTTGCCTTTTAAAGTGACTCATGCAGTGTTGCCTCCCAAAAAGCATTGTCGTGTAACGTTTCTGTTACAGGGTTTTCCCACTGCATATAAACTATTCCATAATTGTCAGGTAGGATTGGATCATGTAAAAAAGTAATAATAAACTCATCTCATGCAGTGTTGCCTTCCCAAAAAGCACTGTCGTGTAACGTTTCTGTTACAGGGTTTTCCACTGCATTAACTATTCCATAATTGTTCAGCTAGGATTGGATTATAAAAAGTGATAATAAACTTAGCTTGTCATAACATTTCTTGGTCATCCATTTGTTCTTCTAGGTTATCCAGGCTGAAATGTCCTTTTTCGGGATCTAGGTTTAGGTCTTGCATTTTAAGGGCTTTGTAATAAGAGACTTGCATGATGTTTACTTGTATAATCTTTTGCAAATGCATTGTGTGCTTGTTTGTGCAGTCAGGTTTCTTATGACCAGAGCTCATCCAGGCTAGTAGCTTTCAAACTGTTGTTTGGCCTTTTTCTTCATTTTTATTACTGCTTACCGGGAAATGTATACAGGTTGTGGAGCCAAATCAGAGGATATATACCAACAGGTTTGATTTCACAGGCATTTGCAGGGACGAGAGAAGAATGACCGATCTGCAGGTGGAGACGACAAATGTTCTAGTTCTTATTCCTTTAGTCTACTTTTAGGTTAGGGTAATGCAACTTCGGAACTTGGAACTGCTAGTTTTGCATCCTTCAGACTACTGTTTGCTATTATGAATCGCGGTGAACTTATACGAGACCAGTCTAAGGTCCTAAATGCTCAGTCGTCTAGAAAAGAAACTTGATGATATTATTTAGGTACTTCTATCTTTTACTTGGTTTTTGGTCTTCGAACTAACAGTACGGTCTGTACTGTGTGTATGTTGGCGTTTGGACAATATTTGGTTGAAGTTTGAGTTTAACTGACTGTGATGTTACCTTATTTCCTTATATTTGAATAGGATCTAGTGTTAAACTCTCTAATAATGCCTTATTAAACCTATTTAAATGATTTGATCAAAATTTAGTCACCTACTGTCAGCATGAATTGCATATGCTTTTCCAAAATAGTCCAAGTTCACATTGCAATTTCAAGAGGTAAAACAATATGTAGGTATGGTTAATTACACAATTTAAACTTCATGAACACTCATCACCACTGTGACAAAATCATAGCTCTTGTCAAAAGTGTTAGAACTTTAAAATATGTATCTTTTATATATAGAATTTCACACACGCATATATATATATATAATGTAATTTTTCGACAAAGGATGTCCATCCTGGATGGCCGTTGCTACGCCACTGTCTATAAATCGGTGCGTCAAAGAAAAAGAGGTAGCACAAACAAGATGATAAATTGAAGTATTTAGAAGATGAAAAATTCTTTATAAACACTCCTTTTATTAAGACCATTATTTCTTTCCAAATCTTTAAAAAATGTTGTATGCTTCATGGTGTTTAATCAACTTCCCAAATTAGACAGTTGAAGAGTGTATTATGTTAAAGGCTTTATCCCCACCCATCTCTTCGAAAAGATCAGTCGTGTTTTCCCTTATCCTTGAAAAAGCAACTCGAAATCGATGGGTTATAAGGGGATGCAAAATGTTGGAACTATTATTGACTTAAATTGTTAAGCAGTTGTAATAAGCTGAGAGATCAGGGGAAACAGATATATTCCAAATGATAATTCTTTTCACAGTACCTTATTCTCCTAGAAAATAAGTCTTATTTATCTGTTAATTCATCAAACTCCGATCCAACGACACATTCTACAGGTTTCGAAGAGAACTGGAGCCCAACTAGTGAGAGTGTGCTCTCCAATGGAGATTAAAGATAGTTTTCAATAGACCACAAGTTAAAAGAAAGTTTTTAACCAAAGCAGTAACAGGCTCATCACAGTTAAACAATGAACTATGAAGTTGTAAGATTAAAGGATCATATAAAGAAAGGTGTTCAAAATAGTAATGAATATAGATAGGGGCAAAACTTTCTGGTAACAAAAACATTCATCAAAATTGACCTACTAAGGAAAATAGCTTAAATCCATAGGGAGACCAAACATCTATAAACTAAAAAAATAAAAATAAAAATTCTTTGCTCTTCAACAACATCTTCCAAGCACTCTACTTCCTTCCTTGCTTGCCCTTGAAGTTCTTTTGGCCACTGAAGTTCCTGCACAAGTAATGTCAATAAAAAATTAGTCGTGTTTCAAGCGAAGGGCGTGGGGGAAAACGGGAAGGGGCTTTGCTGTGTTTGTTGTTTGTACATACTTGTTGTTAGATTTGTTGCCGGAGAACTGACCACCAGATTTTGGGGACTGAGTTTTCGGTTTGTTGTTACCATTGAATGCAGGTTTACCATTTTGCTTAGCAGAAGGGGTGGCTGGACCTTTCTTACCACCTGAAAAAAAAAGGATGTCAACGACAAAGGTTGTATAGTAACATTTCATTAAATGAAACATGAAATATATATATATAACCGACCTGACTTGTTGTCGGGGGTTGCTTGTTTAGCTTTTTTGCCGGAGCCAGGAGCTACTTTAGGAGATGGAGCTGGTCTCTTCTTCTGCTCAACCTTTTTATCATTAAAATATCGATTAGGCATAACTAATCTAATTACGACGCCTTCACAAGTCCGGAAAAAACTGGGCACGATCACAGAAAGATCCAAAATTTAATACCTTTTTAGGTGTCTCTTCTTCTGAATCATCATCTTCCTCGGAATCATCATCATCCTCGGAATCATCAGAAAGATCCATCCCTTCTGGTCCATCCTAGAATAAACAACAGGAGAAAATGTTCAATACACCCAGATGGAATATAAGGAAAAAGATTTTTCCTCATATAAAAGATGCAGAATAAGCATTAACAGAAGTCTTTATGAATCATACCATGCCTAGAGGCACATCATCAGAGTCATCTTCAGAATCGTCTTCATCATCAGAGTCATCTTCAGAATCGTCATCATCTTCATCAGATTCCGTCTCTTTCTTTGATTCAGCTACCTTAGCATTTTTCTCATCCTTCGCAGGTGCAGACTTCTTTGCATCAGGCTTTACATCCTTCACATCAGCCTCAAGTTTCCCATTCAGTGCCTCCATAACATTCTCTTCATCGGAAAAAACATCATCTCCAGAGTCAATTTCCTCACTGCTCGGATCATCAGCAGAGTATCCCATGAAGTGCACACTCCCATTTTTCCATCCATGTGAAAGTTCAAACTCCTTTTCAAAGACCAAGTCAAACATCAACTGAGGTCTATCCTCAGCAGATAGAGTTCCAATGACATATTTGTTATCTCCAACAGTTAGGCGTAGTGGAACATATTTGGCTTCTTTGACATCCTTCACTTCACCTATGGCAGCCTACAAACAAACCAACATTTCAACATTCCAAAACGCCCTGATATCCATTTAAAAGCAAAGAGACATTATATTAAGCATTGAGAAAGAATACCAAGAAAAAACCTTACCTGAGAAATATGAATGAGCTTGAAAAGCTCGGGCTTAACCTTTAGTGTTTGTCCTGCTTTCACTTCAACACCTATACATAGTTCATGTGAAAGAGATGTCACACCTTAACAAGTTACACACAATACAACCACAACAAACCCTGTATGATCCCACGAGGGAGGGAGGGGTCGGGGAGTGTATACAGCTTTTTCTTAAGAAATCCACATCAAAATTTTGAAGAACACCTATAACTTACTAATACTAAAAAGTGATATCAGAAAATATTTATATTTCAAAGTAGGGCACTTAGCTCAAAGATTGCAACTTATTTCTCTTATCTGATGTTATAATTTGGGTTTAAAATTCATCAAGATTATGTCTTTAAAAGAAGTAAACATAAAATCTGGCAAACAATTGCTTTTACACATACCCCACAAAGTGCATACAATCTTAACACCAAAACGAATACACATTACCAGTAACATAGCTTAAGATTGAACTACATATCAGTTAGAAACGAACAAAAGAAGATCCATAACCTTGAAAACTTATTACTTTATTTTTTAAACATACAGAAATTGACTTCCAAGCATACCCAAAACACTACAAGGTAACTAACACACACAAAAAAAAACAGCACAACAACAACATAACAAGCAAAATCCACAAAGTTCATTACTTTCTTTTCAAGTAATCAAAAACCAAACAAGGGAACACATAAAAACTGATTCTTAAACACACCCCAAAACTCCAAAACTCCATTGATGATGTGAAGACCTCAAATATTAAGGGCAACAGAGTATAGCAACAAGACTTTTAAAGGAAACACACAAAAATCAAATTTCAACCATAAACTCTATAAAGCAACAACAGAATACCCACAAAGTTAATTACTTTCAATTCAAATAATCACCAATAAAGAAGCAGAAAACACAGATAAAAACACAATAAAATTGAATTTTAATCATACCCCAAAACTCCATTGATGATTGTTTGAAAAGCTGAAAAACTGGGGGCGAAGTAAGAGAGCAAAAAAGACTGCTATTCGAAGTGCAAAGATTGAAGAGGGCGGTACCAATGAGGGTTTTAGAGGGTTTATATAGAAAAAATTGCCGCTTAACTAGGGTTTATGGTTTCCCAATTTGACAAAAAGTTTCAATTTTTTTTTTTTGTATACTGAAGAAAACCCGATGGGCCTAGTTTGAGGTAGCCCAATAATACCATTATCATTTATGGGCCAATATTTGAACAACTTTTTATTGACTCTTTTTTTTTTTATTTATATGAGAGTTTTATAGTTAATTACATTAAAAAATTATTTTGTTATTTATATGAGAATTTTATAGTTAATTATATCTAAAAATTATTTAAATTTGGTGGATTCACAAACATCCCAAAATATCTGGATATATCGTATTTTGATTTTGAATATATTCTGATACATTGCTTCTTGATTTTGAATACATTATTCAACGTCTCAATATATTGCGTAATGTGATGTATCCGATCGATAGCACGTAGAGTGATGTATCTGACTTATATATCGCATAAAGTGATGTAGAGAATTTTTGTGATTTTTCAAATAATAATTTTTTTAAAAAATATGATAAAATAAATTATATATTAAGTAATTTTTCCTATTTATATCAGGTAGCCACACTATGGCAAACATTTAAAAGTTGTGTAGTTTTTAATTTTTGTTGTACATATGGCCATATTTATAGTCTTTTTTTTTTGTAGTAACATTCACAAAGCACAAGTTTTTATTCTATGTAGGGTATGAATAAGTGTCTGTAAAATTTATATATATATAGGTATAAACTCACTTTTAGAACTTTGCAAAGTTTTGTTTTGAAAAATATAAAACTTATTCATACATAAATTTAGCCCTATTTTATTTGAATTAGCGATATATATATTGACATAATATATAACAGTTGAATCGGCATGCTATTATTTGTATAAAGTATAAGAGCATGAAATATGAAGCATGATGGTTAAAAATGAATGATATCCCATCCTAAGTAACTGCTTTCATGAATAGGCGAGTATAAATTATATAATTTTTTATCTAAGAGAGTTTGAATGAACGTCTTCAACCAACGTGGTTTCGCCCCTGACATAAAATATTTGAATTGTTTAGAATAAGTCGAAATAATTTAGTCTACGAACCAAACATTCCCGATAAATAAGGCTATACTTGGACAACTCCAACAGGCTAAATACTTTACACTTCATGTCCACTCCACTGTTATGTAATACTTCCCTTATCCAATCCTCCATGCCCACCGTCCTCCGCCCTCCCTCCTCCCCACTCCGCCGCCACCACGGCGGCCGCCGGCATCATCGCCACCACCTCTTACCTTCATCACCCTTTTTCCTTCCCCTAAAACCCCTTTCATTATCTCCCTCAATATCCCTTTACACCCCCTTTTCTTCATCTTCCACTTCACCCCAACAACTTCTACTCGATTCCCAAGAAAATCAAGTTGATTTCGACAATTGGGACCCCGTTTCTGCTTCTGGGGTTGCTGAAAGTTTCAATTTTGATGATTCTTTTGACTCTGTGGAGTTGAAGAAGTTTGAAACCCCATCTATTGAGGTGAGGGAATTAGAGGATATACCTGATCAATGGCGTAGGGCAAGATTAGCTTGGCTTTGTAAAGAGCTTCCTGCTCACAGGACGCCTACTATGGTTAGGATTTTGAATGCACAAAGGAAGTGGTTTAGGCAAGAAGATGGGAGTTTTGTTGCTGTTCATTGTATGCGAATTCGCGAAAATGAAGCTGCTTTTAGGGTAATGTGTTCATTTCTTTTGCATCTATGTCCTGTGTCCACACACACAAGTACACAAATAAATTTGTATAGAGTTGAACAAGTAGACAAACTGCGGAAGTGTCCTATGCGGCAATGCATGTAGCATGTTACATGACGTTTTATGTCACGTAGGATATGTGTGTTCTAATTGTTCAACTTTATACTAGTTTAAGTTCGAGTTGTGCACACTCAAAGTTGAAGGACATAGATACAAGTTGATGGCAAGTTATGTATGTATTATATACCTTTTAGCTATGTTGGTTAAAGTATTTGGGTTGTTCAGTAGTAGCCTCACTTATTGGTGTGATATGTTTATGTATTATGTTATGTATGAGACGTGTGTCTAATTGTTCAATTTTAACACTCAAAGTTGGAGGACATAGATATAAGTTGATCCCAAGTTAAAAGGCATATGTATGTATTATGTTATGTAGGATATGTGTGTGTAATTGTTCAATTTTAAACAATCAAAGGTGGAGGACATTGATATAAATTGACGCCAAATTAAAGGCATATGTATGTAATTATGTATTATGCCTTTTAGTTATGTTGGTAAAAAGGTATTTGAGTTGAACATTAGTAGCCTCACTTATCAGTATATATTATGTGGAAGAAATTTGATATAAATTTTGGAGAATGTGGAGAAAAAATTCCATTGAACTGTATGTGTGTTTGCAAAAATGAAGCTGCTTTTAGGGTAGTGGTGTTCATTTCCTTTAGTTTGAAAAAGTTGTTATCTTTACTGTTTTTGGTTATGTTGGTAAAAGTTTTCGGATTGATCATTAGTAGCCTCTCTTAACAGTAGCTACGGAGATAATTTCTGTTATACTGCATGTGTATTCGCGAAAATGAAGCTTCTTTTAGGATAATGTGTTCATTTGCTTTAGTTTAGTCAATTCTTTATTATAGAAAAGGATGGTATCTTTTTGTATTTTTGGTTATGTTGGTATAACATTTGGGTTGATCATTAGTGGCTTCACTTATCACGAACTATATATGTCGATGATATTTGCTAGAAATGGTGGAGAAAATTGCCGTTACTCTGTGCTTGGTTCATTTTTTCTGATAAGATACTTGTGCTTCTTAAGATTTTGTACTTGTCAAGGTTTAGCATTTCATCGTTTTTGCACTTTAAGCAGTGTTAAGAAAATTGCTCAATAGGTTCGCACTCCATGGTGCCTTGTTTTTTTTCATTTGGAATGACTAAGGAAGAGTAGCTATCGGCATTTTACTTGCTTCCTCAAAATAAAATCCAACGCTTTTACGTTGAATTGCATTAAAAAACTTATTTTTCCATTTGTCTGATGCCTAATTACTCATATTATGTATTTAAAATAATAGTGTCTAAGCTCTAAATCACAATGATCTAAAAATATCTGTTGTAAAATAGCAGGTTTACAAATGGATGATGCCGCAACATTGGTTTCGATTTGATTTTGCTCTAGCTACAAAACTAGCAGATTACTTGGGAAAGGAACGAAAGCACTTGAAGTGCCGGGAGATTTTTGATGACATAATTAATCAGGGACGAGTGCCTTGTGAATCTACATTCCATATTCTCATTATTGCCTATCTTAGTTCATCTGGACCATCAGTGCTAGATGAAGCATGTAACATCTACAATCGCATGGTGCACTTGGGAGGTTATAAGCCTCGGCTTAACTTACACAATTCTCTGTTTAAAGCTCTTTTGGGGAAGACATCGAGCGAGAGTAAACAATTTCTGAAACAGGCTGAATTTATATATCAGAACTTGACTTCCTCTGGATTGGAAATACACAGAGATATTTTCGGGGGTCTTATATGGCTTCACAGTTATCAAGATGTGGTCGATATGGAAAGAATCGCTGCACTAAGAGCAGAAATGCGGTCTAGAGGAATTGAAGAGAGCAAAGAGGTACTTGTGTCAGTTTTAAGAGCTTGCTCGAAGGATGGAAATGTGGAGGAAGCCGAAAGAACTTGGTCAAAACTTCTCTCCATCGATGGCTGTCCTCCTTCTCAAGCTTTTGTCTATCGTATGGAAGTATATGCAAAGATTGGAGAACCTACAAAATCTTTGAAAGTATTTAGGAGGATGCAGGAACAACTGGGTTCCACCTCCGTTGCAGCATACCATAAAATAATAAAGGTGCTGTCTAAATATCAAAAACTAGACCTTGCAGATTCTATCATGTCTGAGTTCATAAACAGTGGTATGAAACAGCTGGTCCCATCATTCATCGATTTGATGAGGATGTACTCCATTGCAGGTTTACATGAGAAACTGGAATCTACCTTTCTCCGGTACCGTGAAGTCTGCCATCCGAATCTGACAGTTTTTAATATTTATTTGGATTTATTGGTGAATACTGGCAATCTGAGCCTCGCTGAAGAAATCTTCCATGAAATGCGTGGTAATGTGGCAATTGGTGTTGATTCTCGTGCTTGCAACAGTATCTTGAGAGGCTATATGACCTCTGCAGAGTATGTGAAGGCAGTAAAGATATACAATTTGATGCGCCAAAAGAAATACGACGTTGAGATTGAATCTTCATTGATGGAAAGACTTGATTATGTTCTTAGCTTGCGGGAGAAAGTAATTGAAAAACCTATTAGACTGAAGCTCACAGCAGAGCAACGAGAGGTTTTGACAGGGTCGCTTCTTGGGGGTGTGCAAATTAGATCAGATGAAGAGAGAAGATTGCATGCAATCCATTATGAATTTAATGAAGAGTCGAGGATCCATTCCATTTTTAAGAGACACATACATGATGAATTTCACGAGTGGTTAGGCTCTCATGATATGATGGTGGATAGCACTGCGGACATTCCTAGTTCTTTTACTACCATTTCACATTCTGATTTTACTTTCTATGCTGATCAGTTCTGGCCCAACGGACGTCCTTGTATACCAAAACTTATACATAGATGGTTGTCACCTCGCGTTCTTGCTTACTGGTATATGTACGGTGGTTACCGGACATCATCTGGTGATATTCTGTTGAGAGTAAAGGGAAGTTCAGAGGGTGTTGTGAGTATTCTTAAAGCACTAAAAGCCAAATCGTTACACTGCCGAGTAAAAAATAGAGGGAAGGTCTTTTGGATAGGATTTCTGGGGGACAATGCTACATTTTTCTGGAAGGTGGTAGAGCCCTTCATTATTGATGAGTTAAAGGGACTCCTTAAAGCAGGTGGCGACTCAAATGGATCCCTGGAAACCCAATGTATCAATTTTGACAGCGGATCAGAGTCCAACGAGAAGAATTCAGGTTATATCGAACCTGACACGTCCTTGTCTGATTGATGCATTGGTCTGTATGCCTTCTATTGCAAGGTGTAAAATTATTTGAGATGAATAACGTTGCTGCGAAAGTTTTTGGCTGATAACGTGACGAAGTGCCTTCTGATAGGTATAATTACCTCAACATTATCTTTTGTGATGTGTCTATTGTAGGTTTAAAACCATATATGTAAACTAGCTCTAGACCTTGTACATTCCTCTGGTACATAGCACATTCTTCGAGATCTTCCATAAGTTGAAAGCATGGATTTAAGTAGGGTAGAACGTGTCTTGGTACACAACTTTAATCACCTTTGATTCCCATAACTAGTACACAACTCTAATCACTCTGTTTCATGTTGATCCTACATGAAAATACTACTCTCTTTCCAACCTTTGATCCTCAGTTTCTCGTTCGAACAACAGTAATGATCCGTTAATTTGTGGATTGCAGGACTTGTGGTTCATTCACAGTCAGCTCTGTTACAAGATACTACTCACAGCCCACAGGTACTAATCAACTTTCTTTTGGTGTATTTAAGAGGATACAGAAAAGTAAGTTGTGTGGTCGACTCAAGACAATCTACAAAAGACGGGTACAGCTAGTCTGCTACATGTGCTGAATAGAGGTGGAATCAGTTTACCATATTTTCTTACATTGCTCTATATCATCTACACAGATTTGACAGATGTTCCTATATTTGTTGGGAATGAAGTGGGCTATGCCAAGAACAGCTGCTGATTTTGTTTCATCCTCGATCGGTATGACATCACTTTCTTAGTGCTGGTTAGTTTTCCTCCTCCTTACCTTTGTGTTCAAAATCAACAAGTTTGAGATGAATAAAATGCTAAAACACACTTGTGGGGGGGTGTACACTGATTTGCTGTGGATATTACTGTTACTTAGGACTATGTATTGTGGAGATTGTTGTGTTAAGTACCAACAAAATGTTTAGTGCTGATTGCTAAACATTTTACTTACGAGCTCGTGTAGTACTCACTGCTTGCTTGTAATACAAGTACAACTATTGATTTCAAGTTCGATTAAAGGTGAAGTATTACGAAGGCTGACAGTCAGTGTAAAATTAACCGATTTTGGTGAAAAACTATGGTAATTTTTTATCTTCTTTCAATTGATTGTTGAACTTGTGGTTCTTTGTACACTCCAGTTTGCACTTTGTTCATTTAAAGGGCAAATCATATCATATATTATAATTATATGTTCAACTTTGTGGTACATGTTAAAAAGTTAAAATAGTCCCACATTTATCACGTGAAGCACAAATTTCAAATTATTGACCATATATATTAGTATAATACAATAATTTTATGGAATCTTTAAAGATTTTGTTAGTAGACACAATAATTTTGGATTCACTATATTTACATATGGTAAATATATATAATATTCTACTAAGTATGTCTTTCAAATAATAATAAAGAAACATTTAACATTGCAAGACATTTAAAAGGTACTCTTTTTTTTTTTGAAAAGGTTTGAAATATATTTGAATTTTGATCGAAATTGTTGTAATAATTTCAAATTTACATACTATCCCTGCACTATTTAATAGTGTATGAATAAATTATTATTTATAATGATGCAATATCTATGACGTGTACGTATGCATATATATATCTTTAAAATATAGTATTTCATCAATTTCGTATTAATTGAATTTTTGAAGTGTTTCACACCATTTAAGAGAAGTAGATTAAGACATGTATTGAACATAGTTTTTCATTTTTATCCCTATTAATTATTGTCAAATTTATTGAAAAAATCATCATATCGAAAATCCAAACGAAGGATAAAATTGGGAAGAGTATTTAATAATTAATCTTGAAGATTGAACAATTAAGTTAATTTGAACAATGAAAAATGAATTGATATGGAATGAAGGGAATATTAAATAGTTAGGGGTAATCGATCCTATCCAAAGTTTGAAATTATGATAACAGTTTGGATCAAAATTTCAATAATTTTTGTAGCTTTTTTCCTTTTTTTTTAAATGAAAGATGTGTATAAATATTAAGTTTAAAATTTAGTTATAAATATTTGAAATCGTTATTATAAAATTTTGATTAATAATGCACTCAATTATTTTACACATTATTGCTACTTGAAAAATACTATTGGCTTCTCCTTTTTTTTTTTCAAATTAAAATAAATCCCAATCTCAATTTCACAAAATAAAAAATACATAGAAAGGCATAAAATAATTCTACTCCATGTTGCATGTATAACATGACAAAAGATTGATATAAATTATGGTAGAGATTACAAATTCATTATAAAAATCATGTCAGAAGCATCGTTTCATGAGATAGCCTTATACTTTATATATTTAAATTTAATTTGATCAATAATATTTATTTTTCTGCTCACACTTTTAAACAACATCATAACATTATTCTAGATACTCAAAAATTAGTCTACAGTGTATAATGTATAATAATTTTAAATTTACGAAGAATATTAATAGCTCGATTAATTAGGTACGTAAATTTTCATTTTGTTGATAAGAGTTTCAAACTTACAGTGACAAATTTGGAGTATAATTTCTTCACAGCATGAAATCCATGAATTTGAGCCAAGGTAATGAAATTTTTGTAGCAGTAGCTTTATCAGCTTGCTTTGCACAGCTCGAAGAAGAAGACGATGTTCCGGCACCGGCGCCGGCGGAATTTGACGTTTTTGGACATAGAAAGAAGTTTCTAGAACCTAATCCGATCAGTTTCTCTTCCCTGTCTAAACCTGGAACGGGAAAAATATCAGTTCGCCGTGAAAATCAACGGTTCAGATTCAGCGATGAAGTGGATTAAACAGTTCTTACTTTCTAAACTGAACTGCGAGTAATGAAGATCGTAATCGGCGGGATTGACGGATGTAAGAACCGGCCGCCTTCCTTCTTTCGAGTATTGCCGGAGAGCGGCAGCGATGAGATCCTGAACCGTCGATTCAAGCGAAATTAGAACATGTACAGGACCTATACTTCTCTGAATCGTAACATTCAACAGCAGCTTCGTTAGCTTCAATTTGTCCATTTCCGGCGATTTACCGGTTCCGGCTGAAATTCTACCGGCGGAGAGCAAATCCGGTACTGTTCTCGGCCTTCGCAGCAACTCCGACGTACTACCCTCCGAACTCTGTACGTGAAACGACATTGATTTCTCCGATAACTTCCCCTTCCGATTCTTCTCCTCACTACCTCCTCTCCGGTGATTTCTCGGAGAAGGCATTTACGCTTTAATGTTTACCTGTGCGACGGTAGCGGATGAATACCTGTCAGTTTTCCGGTGACCGGCAGTGAACATAACCAGAATGGCAGAAGCGTAATTCAGATGAAGTAGAGGGACTAATTTACAATTGAAGAAAATGGTGTTCCCGCTTACTCCTATTTATATGGGGATGAAGAAGATAAGGTCCATTGAGATTGGTCGAAATTCCTGTAAAATAAGAGCAATTTTTTTTTTTTAAATGTAAAAGTTTTATAATTATAATTATTTATTTCTTTTGTCTTTTTTCATGTGATAATATTTGATTTAAAATTTAATTTAAAATAAGTTTAAAAACTTTATGATTGAAAGAAAGATTATTCAGAATTTGTGGTTTGAAATACATTTTCTCCATTTACACAATTATAAATTATCTCATAAAATTTTTAAAGTTCGAGTTTTTTTTTCAATTATAAAAAATGTAATATTCTTTTTAGACTAATTAACAAAAGTGTGGCATGTATAAAGGAAACTTTAACATTTTATTCTAATATATTCAGATATATTACTACTGGACTATAATTTATTTATTTAAGGCCAAATTTATGATTGTTTTTCTAAAGTTGACACGAAATTTTACTTCGACATCTTAAGTGGACGATGTTTAAAAATAATTTTATTTTTTAAATTATTTTTTAATAAATTATTGTCTTGGCAGCGATTTAACGTGAATTTCTTTTGTTATTATTTATTTGCTATTTTTTTAAAAAAAAATGAAATCGCTGCCAAAGCCCCACTTAATTTTCTAATATATTTATAAGGAGAGAGAAAAATGAGTTACTTTTTTTGAGGGGCAATTTAGTAAACATTTCAAAGTCTTCATTATTTCTTAAACTACGAATCGGTTAAAATATTGCCACATAAAATGAGACGGAGAGAGTATTATTTTTTGGCCTAAAAAAAGTCCCTTCACGCGCTGATATTGGGTACATACACTTACCATGTCATGTCAGCGAAAAATATAAAAATGACACAGTGAAATTCTACCTGAAATATCTAAATGAACATTAGCTAGTTGAAGGGCCTAAGTGAAATTTTATGTCAAATTTAAGGAACTATCAATGAATTTGACTTTTATTTGATAATATAGAAATTAAAAAAAAATTAACCTAATAATAAATTTAATAATATTTTATAAGTGACTTACCGCAAGAGTATAATGTACACAATTGTATTTCTATTTTATAAAAATGATAAAAATTATTTTCAACCTTCAACGCTAATAAAAATATATCAAACAAATATCATATTACAATCAATATGAAATTGAAAATAAAAAAAAAGGAGATAACATATAATTAGTAAAATGAGAGACTAATAAATTAAAACTAATATAATGATATTATTGATAAGAAAAGATCTATATCATACAACTATGTATTAATCTTTTTTATATCTTTCTATTCAAAATTTTAAATTACTAATTTCAAATTATGTAAATTAGGTCCAAACAAAGAGTATAATAATGGGACCCACAGATCTCCTGTGGATCCCACATTATATGACACGTGGCAAACGGCAGCATTGCTTCGCGAGAGTACTTTAATGGTATGTGGTATAAAAACGTTTTAGTTATGACGGCTTTACAATCCAATAAAATAATGACACGTGTAAAATATAGAAACTTCCAAAACATTCCAATTTTTGTTTTTTTTACTTCACAACATTCCCCTTTACCATTCATTAATGATATTTCACAAGATAATTTTTATTATTTTATATTTATTTTTTAATATTTAAATGATTTATAAAATGATAATTTTTCTGTTTTAATTTATACGATATAATTTGTGTTGAAGCAAAATATGATGTATTAATAATTTAAAATAAGTTATAGTGTAAATTTGAATTATTTTATTAATAAAATATTACTCCCCTATCTCTATTTAGTTGTCCATTTTAGAAATAACACACATATTAAGATAGCATTATTTAGTATAGTAAAGTTATAATTTTACCCTTATGAATTATGATTTCAAAAATGATAGAATTAAAACTTATAAATTCTCAAGAAGTTTAAATAAGGGTATAATAGAATTTTTTTTTATTCTTTCTTAATTTGTCAAAATAGACAAGTAAATAGAAAAGGAAATATGAATAAGCAAATAAGGACAAAGGGAATACTAAATATGTAAATGTATCGTTCTTTTATACTCTTGAGCTTCATTAATAAAAGTAACAAAGTAAAAATATTATTTTAATTATATCAAGTAAAATATGAATAAATAAAAATAGACGAAAGAAATACTATTTTATTGATTTTCTTTTTGTGTATGTCAAAGCAACCTGTTTTACTTTTAGACATAAAACATTTAACAGTATTACAAATTATTTGTTTTATTTAGACAGTTAAATTAAAATTGAACATATGATAAAGTTTTTATATTAGACACTTTTCTCTTCAAATTTAAATCATGTTTTGCGCGCATTCTTAAATATTCATTACATAGATAAGTTGATCGTTTAAATTATCTTACCTCCTTTAATTATACCTGCTTATCTAGATAAGTCATAAAACCCCATGACTATTCAAATTGAAGTTGATGTGTATAAATAGAAGGTATGTCATATTTTATATGGTTAACTTAACTATCTGATAGATACTTAAAATACAAAGATTTCCCTCCAAAAAATCAAACTCGAAAATATCTAATGAAAACACTTGATAAACAAGATTTAATTTGTGTTCATGAATGAAATTTATTAATAAATTTAAGAAATTATTTATGTATTCTAAAAATATCATATAATATTGAATAGGATATACTATGAATCCAAAGAGTTTAAATTAATGAACTAACTAAGTAAGAATTATCTTAATACAAGTACAATGTTTTTAAAATTGTGGTTAAATTATCTTAACATTTTTTCACATATATTTCTTGCCAAAATTTAGAAACTTAATTCAATATAGATTGCTTGTATTACTAGTATGATGTGATCATTTAACAATATTCAATGAATTTGTTTTCTAAAAAAGTGGATGAATTTAGGTCATAATCAAATCATATTATCATGTTATGTTTCTGATAAAAAGAAAGAGAAAATAATTATATAAACAATTAAAAATAATGCAAGAAATTAAAACAACATTTTGCAACATTGACTATAGACCTTTCTACCTCCACAACTTAATAACCAAATTCATATATAAATTGAATTCTCATAATAGATCGATATCGTTGAAATAAATTAATATGTTCACAGTGAAGGATTTAGGATTTTCATTAGGGTTCGAAAAAAAATAGTGCTTAAGATTTGAGGTTTGAACCGCTCAACCACTAATTCTTAAATATGCAACATAATTTTTTTCCGAGGGAGTTCCGCAAACTCTAGGTCCTGCCCCAGTATGTCCATGTCATTATCAAATTCGAGATTTTTTTTATAGATAATAAAAAAAAGAATACCTCAATCATTTCTCAATAATTGATATATGTTTAAGTTTTTTTTCACGTAATATTCAAAATCTGTTCTGAAATTCGACTAATACAGATAGCTGAAAAGCCCACTATAAAAAATAAAATATTATTTATTAATTATAATTTTTTATTGAGAATTCAAACTCAAAACTATTCCAGCCTAAAGTATATCTAGTGTAGGTGTGTTCTAGGAAGGTTTGAGTGAAATAATTAAGGAGTTTGGTCTATGAATAATTTGTTAGGTAACAGTCCTTTTTTTTTTTTGTCTGTTTTATATTTTTTTGGTAGAATATTCTAAAATTAAATCGGAATGGGACATATCATGACAATTTAATTAGGGTTTCAAATCTTTTTACGTATTCGATTTTTGATTTATTCAGGTTCGTTTTTTCTTCTTATAGTTCGTTAATGAGTAGAGTGATCAATTTATTTCGATCTCGCTAGATTTGATTAAATTAGTCCTGAGAGTGTTCTTACATTATCTTACGAACTAGTTGGATAAAGATAATTTAGAGAGATTTTATTTCAAGTGACATTTTTGGATTTGATATATTCGATATTTAGTATTTATATTGAATTTTGATTTTGACTCAGATTTATGTTGGAACGTTTAATATTGAAGTGTGATACAAATCTAGCAAAAGGTTGATTTCATTTTTAAAATTCGAACTCAAAATTTCTGATCGAGAAAAAAAAATACTTACCATTTAAACTCAACTTTAGGTAGTCTCTTACACTTACAACTATCAGTTCAAAACTTCCAATTTCAGCTTGACATTTTGCTTCAAATTGTTCCAAAAATTGCAATTCTTAGCCCACCATTAATTAATTGTTTAGTGGCTCTTAAAATATGTGTGAAAAACAAGTCAAAAAGCTCAAAAAATGCTATTCAATTGAGTAATTAACTATTATTAGGTGGACTTAAATAGAATGACAAGTCAAAAACTTTTATCTAAATTAATATTGAGTACTCAAATATATTTAAAAAATGAAAAATCTTTTTAGTCGGAAAATTTGGTATGAATATAATCAGAATGATATTTTTTCTATGATATTTCACCTTTTAAAATATTTTATCCTTTTAACTTTAGTACCTTTAAACTAAAAAATGAAAAAAAGATTAGTTTATTTTAAAAATAATTTTTTTTATAACTTTTTCTTATTTTCTAGCCATTTAACACTTTTCGTTAAAAAATTAACTCAATACTTAATTACGGATAACTATCTAACTTTCAGTTTATTATATCATAGTTATAAGCTTATTATTTTTGTTAAAAAAGAAAAAAATTATTTATATTTTTTATATATTTTTTAAATATTTAATTTTTGTTTAAAACATCAAAATAACATACTCTAATTAAACTTTTAAAAATTGCAATATAATAATTAAAAATAGACGGAAGGCGTTGTAAATCCTATTCACTCTTAGGTAATACGAGAAAATGATTTCATAAAAGAAAATAATCCTATAAAATTTATTTATCGATTTTCTAGGCGTGTTATTGTTAGAGTTTTGCCTTGATTTTTTTTTATCTTATTTGAAGTTTATTTTTTTAAAAAAAAAAAAAAGACAAAAAAATTACTTTTCTCGAAAAGAAAACATAATTTTCTTTCATATCTGGTTTATTCTTTCTTTGAAGGAAAAATTTGGAGATCTATAAATTAAAAATCTCTATTCTCATAGCATAACATAAAAAAATATTCATAATATAATCAATAAAGAGTTTTGTTACAGGAGATTTTCCTAAACAATTTCAATATTTTCTTTTTATTAAGTGAATATTTGTCCATTATTTTTTTTTAATATTTAGAATTTTGAGAAATATAATTACATGAAATGTGGACCATTTTTGCACAATTATAGGGAGAAAATAGTGAAGTGGTCCCTCAAATTTATACTTTTTTGTCATTTAGGTACCCTAAAATGTTCTGAATTGTCACATTATGTCTCTTATTTTGGGAAATATCATGTGTCCATTTGTAATTGTAGATAAATTATTGGTTGGCCTTGAGATCATGTTAACCTAAGCACATTATTCTCATTTTGATTTCTATTATTGACCTTTTTATTTCTCTTTTGGCATGCAATTTTTGAAAGAAAAAAAAAGAAGAAATATTTATTTGTATATGATGTTTATATAAAATTAAATAATATAAGTTTTGAAGTTAATGTAAAAATATATTGAATCTATCTGGAAAAAAAAAGTTTTACTTGGAAAGTAGAAAAGGTAAATAAGTTGTTTATTATAAGGTGTTGAATATTTTAATGGTATGATGTCTTTTGAAAAAAAGCATATTGATTCAATATAATTCGGATAATATTATATCATATTAAGAGTATTGTTGATTCAGTTTATTCCATCAATTAATTTGTGATATTGATTTGGTGTAACGAGTATGGAAAAAGCAAGTGACGGTGTAGAGAAATATTAATTTTCTCCAAATTCGCATACGAATGGAAATAAATCATGCAAATTTAGTTTGGGGGGGGGGGGGATTGTTGTGCGTATATAAATAAAGTCCCACGTTTAGAGAAGAAAAAAGGGATACATAATACGTAAGATTCAACTAAAGTGACAATATCATATTAAGTTAAGAGTTTTATCGAGCTGATTTAGCTCAACAACATGTATGATGTAACTACTATCTTATTACAAACTTATACATTAGAAGAGAAAACAATTACTTCATTTTATTTTTTATTATTTCTTCTAATGACATGTTTAATGTATAATTGAAGTTTAAAAAATATTGATCACAATCATAAGACGGAGCATCTTGACCTATCCCATTACACTTGCATATTGAAGAAGATACTAATATTTATTTTTAAAAAAAATAAAAGGAACTAATAATGTCAAAGTTATATGCATTTGCCTAGGAATCTTTTTATTTTATTTTATTTTTAAAAATTCTGTTTTTTTTTTCAAATAGTCCAAAATAAAATTCATCATGGACATAATATGTCATAATATGCCAAACTTATAAAGAAAATGAAGGGAGAGACTCCATGCAAATTGTAATTTTTAATCTTCTCATGAGACTAGGTAGGCATGAGGAAAAGTGGGTAGTGGCTCATCTATCTTTTTTATCTATATACAATTGTGGTGTCTCGAAACATGCGGACATCTCGACTAATTTCATGAAATATCGTCCATCTCCCACCAGCACAAGTACCAAACAACTCTACGGGTAGTGCTTGCACATTTATTGACTTTCAAGACCTAAAAAGATGAATGTGCAAGAAATATGGACTGCAATGATAAGAAGAAGTGATGAGAACAATACATGTTACATATGAAAGAAAGAGGAACAATTCCATGTTACAATCACCAACCCCATGGTGTAAAAAATGTATGACATGGATATGCCTAGCTCGAATCAAACAATTCGCCGCTGCACTGCAAAATTGATCAAAGTTGTTCATAGATTAATGAGAGGTTGAGGAAGGGGAAGGAAAAACCTAGCTTCACTACAAAGGCAATGGTGTGTGTAGTGATAATATGTTGAAGCAAAGCTCTTGTTGATATCCTTGAATTTGTGAAGACGTTTTCTGCTTTGAGCGTTTTCTGATACGCGACTTGCTGATATACTTCTCTGGCATCTGTGCTTGACTAACAGCTCTTAATCTTCCATTTTGTGCAACAGCATAAGGGAAGCTAATTGAGCCTGGAGTCTGTTGCTCCTTTGGAAATTCATGGACATCAGATGGAGCGTTGGACAATGGAGATGACGGTTTAGGACTCAATTTTCCCTTCCAAGCCGTAAATGTATGCTGTAGCTTAGGTGGCACCTGCAAGCCAAAAGAAAATTGTAATGAAGTGTAAAGATTTCCGAAGTACCTGGATGTTGTTTATTCTATAGTTGCCAAGCTATGTTGCTCGGACTCTCAAAAAATGTCGTTTGGTGCCATATCAGATCCTCCGAAAGTAGTGTACTTTGGAGGATCTGACACAGCTGCTACAGCATTTTCAGTTAGTCCTTACATAAGGCGAATATTGTCTGATATCCCTTAAAGCCTCTATCTTTTTCCAGACACTGTTACTCAAGTTTCTCAAATAACTCTGTTCATATTGCAGCATGTTCGATATAAGTTTTTTGATAAGCTAGTATCATGTATTGTGATATGGTGAGCGATGCTTATGATAGTTCGCTGCTGTTTATGAAAGCTGCCCCTCAGATGATTAACATTTTTAGATTCATTATAGGAAAACTATTTCTAATTGTAATATAACCTCTATAGACGAAGCTTCGCTAACCAAACTTTAAGTGATTTTCAAACTTACAGTGGGAACCAAGGTACAGGCAGCAAATGACAAAGAGGATGCTCCAAACGGAGCCTTTCCAGATCTGTTATCCTTCTTGTCACTTTTAGCTGAGCTTTGATTGTCAGCAGATCCAAAACTTGATGCAGTAACCTCCTCTTCGTCTTCCTCGTCCTCGTCCTCGTCCTCATCTTCCTTCTTTTCCGCCCAAGTTTTCTCAAGTTCATCTGTTGATTCAGAAGGTACAATATCATCTTCTTCTTGGGTTCCCATTGCAACTTTCTTTTCCTCCTCTTCTTGCATTCTTTTTAATTCATCATCCATGTCTTCCAACGCTTCCTTTAGAGACAATTCTGCTTCTGCTAATTCTAACTCTTTTTTCAACAGCTCTATCTTCATCTCACCTGCTTTCTTCTTCTCTTCAGTCCATTTCTCAAGTTTGTCAAACATCGGTTTGCATGCATTTTCCACTGAGGTAACAAACCGTTTCCACACACTATCTGATTTGACAGTCCCACCTCGTCCATAAAACTCGTCAAATCCTAGGGGGAGGAATTCAACTTTATCAGGATCGACATCTTCACCCTCTTTTACAGGAGGTTGCCAAAACAATCGTAACCCATGTTCCTCATCTTCCACATAGTTGATAATCCTTCCAGTCGGAGTGTGCAGGATGACAGGATCTTCAGTATAGACGAGTTTAGAAGGATCTTCAGGATCAGGCTCAGGTTCCTTGTTAAGTAAAATAAACTCCGGCTTTTCATCTAACAAAGGGGAATAAAAGGTAAATCTAATTAAAGGGCTTCAGAAGAGAGACTAGTATCAGGTCGTTTAAACAATATGAACAGAAAAATAAGTGCTGAGAAGTACTAACTTCAGGTATATCTACTTTATGATACTCAGTAACCATAGCAGTGGGGGAATTAAGTTGGTTGAAAAGACAAATCAAACTTGAAATGATGTATAGCAGTAATGGTTTATTTTTAATTCGAATTGTTGGAAGTGAAAACTTATTTATTTAAGTGTCAATGATTTTAGGTGAAGAGATATGACGGCATAATACATAAACAGACACTCAAACTTGGCCTCGGTTGTCAAGCAAGCACTCCAAATTTGGGAGTGCACAACTAAACACCTCAACTTGGTCTCAACGGGCAACTAAATACTCCAACTCGTCCCCACTGTGTCTCGTGGACACCGAATGCTGACTGACGCATAAATTTCGGAGATGTCTAGATGATCATTTTGTAAGTTTGGAGTGTTCAATTGACACAGTGGAGATAAGTTGAAGGGTCAAGATGTGTATACTCAAAGTTGGAAGGATTTCTTGCCAGCCAAGGCCATGTTTGAGTGTCCATATATGTATTATGTCTAACTAATATGAAATAGATGTAATAAGAGTTATGAAATCCAGATAAACAATATAATAAATTACATGTTTTAGTAGCAGACATTTGATTTTCTTAGTGAAATCATTCTTTCTGCCCAAGATAATGCAATATAGCATCTGTTTCAAACATAGGAAACCAAACACATTCTCTTTTAGCTAAATTCTTTCCAATAGAATCCCCGTTCAAGCATTTTCACACAGCCTTTGTGCACTGTGAAGTACACGTGTTTCTTGTAACATACTTAACAATAATCTGTGACACTAATATTAAAAGGTAGAAAGCCTTAAACTACAGCTGTTCATAGATGTTTCTCAATGATGTTGACAGCAGAAGGTTGACTATTAAGAAGCAATGAACATACATCTGCGGCAAAGTTACCCATAACATTCCCTGCTAGATGATATAGAATGACTAAAAGAATCATACCTTTGGACCACCAATGTTCAAGCTCTGCAGGCATAGGCAATCGTAAAGGAGCTTTGTAAAATGAGTTCAACCACATTTCTCTCTCTTCATCCACGTCATGTGTATATGCTTTCCAATAATCCGGAACCTGTGTAACAAGTGACTCAGTTAACTTTCCTTACAGCTTTTCGAAACTGTTAAGATTGGTTGTCTATATAACAGCACAGATAATAAACAGACTGAAGTTTAATTTCAACTCACTTCATAAAACTGGTTGATGAAACCTGGTGCCATCCACACATCATCTTCTTCATATAAATATGGATGTTGAGGATCACTATAGGGGCCTCTCTCTTCTCTCACCACTACCGGGGAACAGGCAAAGTAGGTTTAGAAAAGTCATTAGCCCTTGAACCAACTCAACAAGTTTATGAACGATGATAATAGTATGGAAGTCGATGAGAGTGTAACTAATCATGGGGGAAAGCACATAAATCAGATAAATAAGAAAACGCTACATACTTCCATCAGGCTTGTTAATAAACATCCGGGCCTTAGCAGCTGCAACTTCTGCTATACCTGCATGCATCTGAAATAAATGCTGTAAATATTTCATAAGCTTCAGCTAAAAAACTAAGCAGCATATGCTTAGTCTTCAAATTACCGCTGAAATTTCTGCATCACATCCATAAGTATCCTCTGCTACATGTTCTCCAAAATAAAAACGACCCTGCACCACAATATGAGAGCGTTAACTTGATCTCTATCATCCGGGCCTAGATTCTCAAAGCCATTACAGATGTATGTGCATCAAAATCTTGAATTGAAACCAGAAACGATGAGTCTATGAGAAAACAGTCAGAATGTGACTCCTCCATCCATAGTTTTGAGCTCATATTGCTATGGTCAGCTTAAAACTATTGCTTTTATTAAATTTTAGAAGTAGTTATTGAAAAAAATTACAATAATAGAGTCATGTTCTGTAACTAGCTTTTGTCATAAATCTTGCTGCTAATGAGATTGGAAGCTTAAATTTTATGTATTTTCAATTCAATGTGTGAGGGCTATAAGCTGATTGAATTGTTAGTGGTAAAGCTTTTATGAATTTTTTATGTTTCCCGCACAACCAAATCCAAGGGGGTTAGGTTCTCCCAGAACATCCGTTATCAGTATATGGACGGTTATCTCTCGAGCACAGGTTGTCGACAATTACGATCATTCAAAGGCATTTTTCCATTAGCTGGAGTGTGAATTGGGTTTCTAGAGTTCTTTTTCTTCGTATTCAGCAACCTATACTAATAAACTGTTCAGAAGATATCCCACATACAACCTTATATAAACCGAGAGAGGGAGAGAGAGAGAACCCAGGTTTAGCTTAAAAACTGTCTTCTTTACCGGTTTTTCTTTGATTTTTCTCGACCATTATGAGACAAACCTAACTTCCACCAGTTGGGCAAAGGATGGACAAATTTTGCTGTAAGAACTACAGATAAGTTGATTGTCTCATATCTTGTTTAAATTACAAGGCTTTCTGTTCTTAAGAGTTCAATATATTCTCCTCGTGTCAAAATCATATGCCATGATCTTCCTTAAGGTTGCAGATTATCTAGTGAGAATGAGAGTCTTGTGCAATTTCCTAAAGTTTCTGATTGGATAAGTGAATTTCTGATCTAAAACACGATAATGAAAGTTTGACAGGAACTTACATATATTGTGCGTTCATTAACTTCATATAAACCGCAACCATGCATTCTTCCATGCTTCCATTGGCCAGCATAGCGATATCGCCCCTTCTCCCTAACAGAAAAACATGATAAGATAATCAAGTTTTACATGTAAATTTGTGTCCTTGAGTTACAACACCAGTTATACCCTTTTTATACATAGTAGAGATAACAGGTAGATTAGCAAGAGAACAAGGATAGATTAATCCATCACTCAAACTAAAGAATTCCACATGTTACAGAGTTTGACTAAGAAAAAACGATAATAAAAAAGACTTTACTGGAATTAAAGGGGAAACATCTATAGTTCAATGACAAATAAATATCAAAAGTCACGTCATGCATGAGACGCAGTATCAGTTGCAACTAACATAGACTGCGCTTCAGATAAATAACGCAAACAGACGAGATTCTCCACGCCCATCAATTCTCAGTTTTCACGTAAGACTTACGGTTTCTTGCCGAATTGCCTGATCCATTCATCATTCTCATAGAAAGGAATTTCATAACTTCCGTTTGTTAGCTCTAGAGTATCTTCAATATCCTTCTCCAGCCATTCTCTGTCTTCTGGGGACATAAAGTCTCTCTTTATAATCTTGCCTTCAGCTCTCATCTTGGCTTCAAGTCTGGGAAACAATTACACTACTTAATACGAAAGCAAGAACATCAAAGCAAAAAATATCTATGGGCAACATTTTGGAGTGTAAACATACTTGGATCCTGGGATGGGTTCTATGTGGGGTATCTCAACCTCAACAACTCCATGACCTTCCATGTTGTTTTGAAGCCATTCACCTTCATACCTGTGAGAAGCAAAAAAGAAATAACAAATGATGTGATGCAGATGTAAAGTAGAAGAAATCCTAACACACAACGTAATATAAATTAAACACACCAAGCAAATGGTAAAGTGACAACTAGTAAAAATAATACTGACAAACCTGACCAGCCCTTGCTCAGCGACATAAACACCTTTTCCATGTGCCAAGTCATCCCAAACAGTGCCTTCATACCTTCAAACATAAAATGTCACCCTTTTTACTGATAACATCATCTAAAACCAAGAAGAAGGAGGAAGAAAAGCTAAACCGTGACCAAATGGTAGCAGTTAATTGTCACATTAGCATTGCTTAACATTAATAAAGCATATATTTACTGGAGTTTGGAGTAGTAAGGCATAAGACAACATTAATTTGACAAGAAATCCCAAGACGGGGAAGCAAAACCTAACAAAGACATTATATTCCCAAACACAAAGTGAAACTGCAATCATGGCAATAAAATAGAACCTAGTTTATACAGGATGCCAACACGAATAGGCAAACAATTCCAAATATCAGTTAGGTAATACAGGCATGTAAGAGGTGTGTAAACATGTCGTACATATAAAATGCAAAGTTGAAGGCCTAACAAAGATGCAACGAGATATATACTTTCAAAAGAATAAAGTAAAAGGACATCTTTCATGTTTCTCAATATTGCGAAGTTGAAAGGTCAAAATCACAAAACATCAACCTTAGAAAGAATATGGATGGACCAAAATTTGGAAACGGTCCATGCGACCTACCTTGATTATCTATGAAAAAAGAACATTAAATTTTTTGAGGAAGTAACATAAATGACAATAAAATACACACTTTGGAAAACAATGATGTAAACAAATACACCAAGTGATAAATCTAAAGTTAGAATTAACTTAAATTAATATCCTCAGCCAAAAGAATAAAAAAATAAATGCAACACTAGAGATAATCCAAGAAAAGAAATGGTATTACTCTGACTATCTGACGCCTAACATCTTATGAACACATAGCCACAAATGGGATCCTCCAAAATTATGCACTCTTTAAACCAACAGTAAAAGGATTCTGATTGTGTCAGTAAAAGGCTGTAAGATACTTCTTACAAGTAGTCATCAGAAGTTTTTTTTCTGTTCCAATCAAATTTACCATTTACTTCTTCTAATTAGACACCAAGTTATATTCCAACTGTTCATGTAGGAGTCCAGCTTCATTACGAAGACCTATTCTAGTTTAAACCACATTTCAAAGCTTCACATCTTTAACACCCTATAAAATGAGAGCTTCACCAAAAGAAAACACAACCTCTAACAAAAAGTAGCCAGCTTCCCCGCTGTTGTTTCAATTTCCTATTTATTCCATTACCAAACTTGGTAAATGGATGACACATATCCACTTTTACTTGGACTCCTCTAATCCTTCCTCTTTATCCCAAGTTAAAAAGCATTTGACAGAAAGTATAAGCATTTCCATTATCATAGGAACAGAGAATTTTTAACATATTAGGATCAGATACTCAGGTTTCTTTAGCTGAGGAAATAAAAATCTCCAAATTCCACCTACAAGCTCTTTTTAGTATGAAAAATCTCCTCCATCTCATTCACATCCAATTTCTTTATTCAAGATTTACTTTCACCAAATTTGTGGAGTGAAATTGGAAGACTTTAACTAGGCACTACATTAGAGTATGGAAATGACAAAACCTAAACTATATAAGAACAGAGTAAGTCAATATCACTTGAAAACTATAGAACTCTTCCACATTATGCATATGATTATGAATAGTAACACAAGCAGCTAAAACCTCATACAATAATAACAACAGACCCGGTATAATCCCACAAGTGGGGTCTAGGGAGGTAGAATGTACGCAGACCTTACCCCTGGAAACGATGTCTCTGATAGACCCTCAACTCCAGGAGTAGCTAAAACCACATAGCCGATTGATTATATTCATATTCAAAGCTCACCATTCTTGTAAGGAAAAAAAACAATATTTACCTCAATTATAAAGCAAATACAAAACCCATTAAGCAAAAGGGGAAAAAGAAGAGCAAAAGACATATGAGCTACCACCAGCAAAAATGTAGATAACCCATTTCAAGAACTCCTCCACAATAGCACAAAGAATACAAGCACATAATCCCCTATTCAGCTCCAATGCCTATAATTTTATGAAAGTAACACTAACATTTAAAACCATATAGCCAAATATATTTATATCCAAAGTTCACCATTCTTGTAGGGTTAAAAAATAATCTTTAGTAAAGCAAATACAAAACCCGTTATTAAGTAAAGGCCGAAAAATCGGAAAAGAAAGATCAAAAGACTCTCGAGCTACCATCAGCAAAACTGTAGCTAACCCATTTAAAGAACTTCTCTACATTAGCACAATGAATACAAACACACAATCCACTATTCAGCTTCAATGCCTATGATTATAAAAAGTAACACTAACAGCTAAAACCATTCAGCCAATTATAGTCATATTCAAAGCTCACCATTCTCAGAGGAAAAAAAACAACCTTTACCTCAATTGTAAAGCAAATACAAACCAATAAAGCCAAAGTGAAACAATTGAAAAGATCACCAGCTACCACCAGAAAAAATGCAAATAACTCCTCTACATTAGCAGACTATCCATTATTCAGCTCCAATGCCTATGCTTATGAATAGTAACACTAGCAGCTAAAACCATATACAACAACAATGTAATCCCACAAGTGTGTTTCAGAAGGATAGAGTCTACACAAGTCTTACCACTCTAAAACCATATAACCAATCATATTCATATTCAAAGTTCACCATTCTAGTTAGTAAAAAAACAATCTTTACCTCAATTATAAAGCAAAGGCAAACAAAATGGAAACCACAGAGCAAAAGACTTACGTGCTACCATCAACAAAAATGTAGCTAACCCATTTCAAGAACTCCTCAATCCTATCAAGCTCTTCAATCACAGATTTGGGATTGGAAATATCATAATTATTATCCGGTATCACAGGATACGGCTTCCTATACGGTACATAAAACGGGGCAATTGGTGGGTCTCGACCCGCTTTAGTCTCTTCTGCAATGATATCATCTTCCTCTTCATCAACCCAATTCGGGTCCCAACCGGGTTTCGTCATCTCAATCGGAGCATCTCCCCATAGCTCTTTCAAATCCTCTTCCCTCCAATTTTCCGGGTCATAAGGAAAATCAAACAAGTCTTCATGATACGTATACCCTTTTTCCTCCTCATCTAATTCCCTGTTCCTGCTTTTCGAATTGAGGATTCTCATGAAACGCTTCACATTTTCTTCTGGAGTAACATTTTCTTCGTCATCTATGTTCGGCTCACCCGAACGAGTAATTGGTCGAAACCCCTCTTCAGTTTCCGACTCAGAATCAGAAGAATCGTCCGATTCAGAAGGCGAAGAAGGTTCTTCTTCAATTTCTTCTTCTTCTTCTTCTTCCTCTTCTTCTTCTTCTTCATCTTCTTCTTCTTTGTCGGATTCCTCTTCTGGGATTAGCTCATTTTCTGAACTGTTTGAGTTAACTTCTTTTGGGTCCGCCATTGGAGAGTAAGAGAGTAGTAAGACTGAAGAAGATGAAGATAAGGAATGAGAATTTTTTTTGCTTCCGATAGTTTATATATTATTCAAGAAATGGTTGTACTTATGGGAGTATGTATTGTACAACAAAGGCTGCAGGCCAAAATTGATGGGCTAAGCCATTTTTCTTGGACCATATTTAAAGTTTAGCCCCTCTCTATATATATGAAATATTATTTTTACGAAGAGTCGAAAATACCATTAAACGTAAATTATATTAATTTCATTTTTAAATTATTGATAGCCTTAAAAACACTCATTTACTTGACTAAGTTGACTTGAATACGATGTTTTTGACACGTCTCTTGGCTATTTATTATTAGTCTAATACTTTTACTAGAGTTTGAGATTACTTGTTATGTCATATTGCATAACAAGAGTGTATCTAGGTTTAGTTAGTCAAGTGGAAGAATGTTTTTATGGCTATCAATAATTCAGGAATAAAACTAATAATTTGCATCAAATTCAGATGTTTTTCCCGTACTTCTCTCTTTTCATTAATTAGGTTAGAAAAATAAAAGATATACAAAAATATTTCTAGTTAAAATATGATATAACAATTTTAAAAAATGTGGAGTTAAAATTGATTGTTCATTTGGATTGACTTAAAAAGTAGTAGCTTTTAAGTTAAAATAAAAAATAGTCAAAGTTAAATGATTTTCAAGTCAAAAAAAAAATATTGGGGGAGACGTACATTTTTTACTTATTATAAATCATTTTTTAACTTGATAAGCACTTTCTATCTTATTTTAAGTCGTTTTTAACTTATTTTATTTTTTTAAAATATTCGTCAAACACATACAACAGTAAAAAAAAACTAACATAAAAGTAGATTTAACCAACTTATAAATCAATCCAAACACCCTCATAGTGATTAAAAGTGGGGTTTTTCTATAGAATAATACATGCACATTAGTTAGTTGTGTTTATCATTGATCTATGAGTAATTTCTAAACAAGAAATTTTAATGACATCAATACAGTGTTTTGTTATCAGTTAAGCGAAATTTTTAGCTTTAATGATACCAATATAGTGTTTTGTTATCAGTGCGCAAATTACAGAAATCACATACTTTTTAGGTAAAATTATAATTTATCCCTTAAAAGTTTATAATTACAAAAATACCTCAAAACGGATACAATAATATAAGAGTTGATACATTAATCTATTGCACGACACACATTAATCACTAAGTAAGATACATTATATTTTATACATGATACATTGATCTGATGTACATTTTATACATGATACACTAATTTGATGCGCGAGACAACTAATTTGATGTGTGAGATACACTAATCTGATGCGCGAGGTACATTTTATACATGATACACTAATTTGATGTGCGAGATACACTAATGTGATGCGTGAGATTCATTTAATGTGATGCACCAGAGATTTTGGAAATTCGTAAAACTCATAGGAAATAATGATAATAAGTAAACTAAAAGGTGGAATTTCCGTAGGTAAATCCTTTCTCTAAAGTTTGATGAGCCCATTAGTCGATCAACATGCACTCCCGGCCCATTGGAGAAACAAGAACACATATAGCAAGGAGGAAATTTCATAAATAAGCAAGATATTTTTTTTATTGCAAAAACTAATCATACTTTATTTCAAAATATAGTGATATTTTTTTGGGTAAAATAATAGCCTATATACCATATACACGTGCATACAATATCAACATATATACACATGGATACATTAAATATACAAATGTACATACACTAATGGCGTACATACAATATGTGCGTATATACAAAAATTATGCCTACAATTTAAAAATACATCTATTAACGTATATCTATTATAAACTTTTTTAAATATCTTCATATTTTGATCTTGATAGATTGTGACAAATAATTAGTGACTTAATTTATTTTTTCAAGTTATTATAAATAAAATGAAAATATAGCTCCTTTGATTTTGTAAGTAATAACCATATCACATAAAATGAAATAAATATATATACTAAACATAATCCCAATAGGCAATAACTATGGGCCACATATGAATCAAGTAATGCTAATTGCATAAGCCCAATTGGCCCTTTCTCTTTGTGGAAAATAATTCTAAGAGAACATGCCGAAATGTTTTGTCGACGTCGATCAAGATATTGACTATGCAGCCGGTTGGCCCTCACGGCCAGTTCAACCCATTTTCAAAATCAAATTAGCTTCAAAGCGCGCATAGCCACCAATTTGAAGCTTTTCGTGTGCTATGAAGCACCAATTTTTTAGGTGATACAGATTTCAATAGAAGAAGAATAAAAAAAGCAGAAACACTATTGTGTGATATTAATAATAAAAAAAAAGCTATAATATTAATAAATTCTTAAAAGGGGTTGTCTAGTAGATAAAGCAATTATATTTGTACATGATTGATTGAGGGAAGGGCCTCATGTAATGTAGATGAATCTATACCATCATGCAATACAATATTTGTGATTGTTTCCGAAGTTCGAATCCGTCACCTATCGATTACGTGAAGACAACTTTACTGGTTACCTCGATATTAATTAGTCCTTGAACTATACATAAGTATAAGTAATAATCTCTCATAATTAAGGGTGATTATGGTGTTGAGTGTAGATGTAATCCAAGTGAGCTTCTACAAGAACTCTTCTCTTAATGCATTCTTGATCATTTTCATCCTCACATGAATATTCTTCTAACCCCATCAACCTCTACAAAAAATTGCATAAAATAAAAAAAAATAAAATAAAAATAACACAATAAATCTATAATAATGAGACTAAAAAGTATGAAAGTGGAAATAAATAGAAGAAGAAAATTACATTTAAATTAGTACTTCTCATCTTCTCAATTGAGTCTCCATCACTAGATTTATTAGTTAATTTTGCTTCCTTTTCCACTGCAAATCATTCAAAACTTTTGATTAATTTACTCATCAACAAAGCTTTATAAGTACAATATAATATAATTTTCTTAATGAGAATGTGTGCATTTAACTTAGACTATTTTTTTTTATGATAGGTGTTTAAGTTAATTCATGTGGACCTCGTAAATTAATTCATCTAAGAAATAACGTTTACTAACCACTTTTCAGTTATATGTTTAATTTTTTTTATAAAAAAGAAAAAGAAAAACTTCGTACTTTGAATATCACAGTAGCTTTCAGTGATGATTATATCACGGGCAACTAATTTTTAAATTATAAATCAAACAACCTAATAATTTTATATATTTATAATTCACCTCCTAATCAACTAGTAAACATGATATTACTCATACGGGGTTTAATACCTACATAACTCAACTCCAAAACAAATCAGCAACTAAACGACCCTTAATTCATCTAGTATACATTATGTATCATCGACACAAATACTGAATAACTCTAAACATCTAAACTTAATTAAATAGGGAAAATATATATATATATAATTATGAAAAATATTCATATAATTACCTTGCAAGTTGTTTACTAAAAAACGACTAGATGCTTGTGAAGAAATGATCATGGAAACAAGAAGAAGTAGCACAAAATATACATTTTGCTTCATCATATTTTTGGTTCTAATAATTTGTGTGAGAGAAAAAAAAAACTTTGTTGGGTTTTTTGCTGGTTGTGTTGTGGAGAAGTATAAGTATATATATACACATAAAAAAAAAAGGTGGATTTATATTCCCATGGTATTGTAGACATAGAAATACCATAATTATTTAATGGGCCCCCAAAACAAATATTTTTTATGTATATAAAAAAAATGTTGTAGCTTGGTCATGTGACAACAATGCTAAGTGTGCATTTTTTTTTTATATTTAAAATTTGTTGATATGAATATTTGATTTTCTATTATTTTTAGGAGATTTATTTTTATTGGTGTCATTGATTCTTTTAGAAAATTATAACTATTTGCAAGTAAAGATGTAAAGTATGTAAGTTAGGAAAAAAGACAAATATATTTTTGAACTATCGTAAATGATATGTTAAACATTCTCCGTCATACTTTTGGAATATTGGTGTCCTTGTCGTTAAAAAACTTGAGCATATATATCCTTTATATTAACGAACATACACGTGTCATAATCTTATGCACCGATCCGACATTTATTGACGGATAAGATTGCGCCATGTGTCTCTATTTAGCAGGGATGGCTCGACAGTGTTAAAAAAAGACATGCGCCTTAATTAGGGCCTCATTTTCAATAATAATAGGTTATAAGTTATTATTTTTTAACAAATATTGAATACTATTTGTAGAAAAAGTAAATTTTTTATGAAAAATTAAAAAATTATTAGAAGAAATTTGATATATCTGGAGTACTATATCTCATGGAAAATAATTTAAAATAAAAATGATTGTATTATCAATTGAAAACTAAAAGAAATCAATTGTGTAAAAATTATTAGCAATTCAAGTTTAAGGCCCCGTTTAATTTTTACTTTAGGCCACTAATATGCTTGAGTCACTCCTGCTATTTAGTCATTCGTTAAAGGAAATGACATATACTCTAGTTTTTGGACGGCAGAGATATCAATGTCTGAAAAATATGACGAAGAATATATGCATACTATTTACGATAGTTCAGACATATATTTATCTTTTTTTCATTATTTCATAATAACAAAAAAGACAATTAACTGCGATTTTTTTCGACTTATTAATTATTAAGCGTAAGTGAGCAATTAAAAGAAGACAACACATGATAAAGCAATTAATAAAGCTTTAAGTGTCTCGTTAAAATTATCTTAAAATACAGAAAATAATTATTCGAAACTTCTCTTCTTATTGTCAAGTGGCTTCGTGGACTTGGTGGAATGGAATCAAGAAGTCAACCACTTAGACATGCAAACAACTGTTTCCCATTACAACACTTGTTTAATATTTTCTTTTTGTTTTAGTAACTTTTAACTTTCACCAACTATAGACAAGTTTCATAAAAAGACTAGAAATAGAAGTTTAAAATAAAAATGATCGAAACGATTTAAGTTAAGAAGTTTATGAATTCTGAACTTATTCTTAGATTCAATTCTCATTTTATTTATTGAATTTGATTTTTAATATAAATACAAATTTTAAATAAAAATTATTAAATTCGTCTGAATACATTTCTAATATCATAACTCTGCTCTTGATCTAAATTAATAAGAGTCTTTTTTTTATTAATTTGATGTTTGATATTTGTATTATGATGTTGCATGTTGAATACAGATTCACATAGTGAAATCTCATATACACGCTCTAACATAAACAAATTCATATTTAAGATCTCTAATGAATGATTTAAATATTTTTTTTAAAAATATTTATCACTCCGTCACGACTTTTATAACAACTCATTCATATTTAAGATCTCTAATGAATGATTTTAAAAAAAAATTAAAAATATTTATCACTCCGTCACGACTTTTATAACAACTCATGCAAGCACCAAGTTACATTGCTTCCCACATGTAAGCAACCAATTAAAGTGGTGGGAATTCCACCTTCATACAAGACAATATCTATTTTAAGGAATTGTTTGGTTGCAATTGTGAGTGCTTTCTTACAAGACACTCACATATCATCCCATTATTACTTAATTTATTGCAATAAAAGAGTATTGACATGATCCACTCTCTTGGGAAACATTAATAATGTTGGGTGTTTTATTTTAGAAGAATTTCAAAGAAAAAAAAATATATTTTAGAATTAAGAAGAAAAACATTTAGCTTATTATTATTAATAATTAAGAAGGGTGACTTTTTTAAAAATTAGAATCTCTTAAGGTACAAAATATATGCAAAATATTATCTACCAAATACACAAAATAAAATTTCTTTTTCTTTTCCCAAGTACAATCATGTCAAGTTTTAATCTATAATTACTAATGAGACTACAATCAAGACTTACTTTGAATTTCATGTTAAATTACGAACATTTCATCTAAAATTTAAGTTATCAGAGATGGTACACTGTTATTTATACATGCAATGTTATAGTTGTAAAATTGTAATAACAATATAAATTCATTACACTATCAAACATAGTGCCACTAAGGGTTTGTGTTCCTTAAAGAAATGGCACTAAAACTTTATGCCATTATTTAGTATGTGGTTGTGGTGGCTAAGATCTTTGGCATCAAATTTGCATATTATAATATTTTGTACTTATTATATATAGTCCAAAGTTGGCAATATGTAATCCATCATAAATATATAAAATCAAAGTTGTGTATCCTTTATAGGATACTCTTTGATTCAAATTTTATTCTTGCATGCCACATGTTTATCTAGCATTTTTCAAGTTCAAATTTTTTAACATGAAAAATTATGTTTGATTGACACATAATGGAATAGGCTATAATGATTAGGGGTATTTTATTAGGAGAAATAATTTCACTCCATATATATAGAAAGATTTTGATAATCCCATGATATGGGATAATGATGAGAATTTAATTTTAAAAATTGATTAAATGCTATGTTTACTTTTAAAAAAGTAATTAAGGTCATATCTATTAGTGAATTCTAACATATTTAAGAGGAAAAGCAAATATGAAAAAGTTAAAAAGATTAATGTGAATTCTAACATATTTAAGAGGAAAAGCAAATATGAAAAAGTTAAAAAGATTAATGAAGAGGGGTGGATTCAGAATTTAAAGTGTAATTTTTTAGCGATTTTAAAATATTTTATTGTAAGTGCACGAGAGGAATTGAACTCTCACCGAGAAAGGCAACAAAACTTAAGTAGATTTTATTTTAATCGTTGTACTAAAAAACTTACTTTGTTATTGAATTCTCAACGAATAAGTAATGTATTTTTCAATTTAAACAGATAATGTCTGTAAAAATTATTGAATTTCGAAGAATCTACACCCAATTCCCTAATACTAATGTATAAAATGGATTATAAATCGTAAAATTGCTTGTTAATTTAACTTAACTTTGATCGTTACTATATAAAGGTATCAATAATGAAAGACTTACATATATAGCCACTTATAAAAAATTAATTACGACACTAACTATAGATACAAAAAAAGGTATACTAGTTATGCGTAAAATATATATATCATGTGTGTGTAATGTTGATATACACTATCGATTATTATTTTGATGAGTGATTCACAACCTAAAATTCTCATCAATAGAAGCAAAAGGAATAAGTAAAAATATTTTAAAATTATTGGGCTCGACACATTTTGTTGGATTGGACTTCATGGGCCCAAAATCTGTTTCTGGGTTATGATTTGGGCTGAAATTGATCGTGAGCTAGTGATTAGTGACAGAGTTCAAAATTTCACTAAAAAATATGAATATAAAGGAATGAAAAATGGAAAAACTAAAAAATTGAATATCTATTATATATATATAAGAAGTAATTTGAAACTTATATACACAATATAATTTTATCGATAAAAGATATATTGGATTGTGCATATGGTTATTGTGTATTGATCGATTCGATCAATTTAAAATTTATCGATTCGATTTGTCATTTATCGATTTGTAAACATGCTAAACCATTAAAATTTGACTTATCAATTTACCAGCCATTAATCATTGTTCCAAATATTTATCATATTTTAAGTAACAATCCTAAAAGTGATTACTTGTGCAAATTTACCACTTAAAAAAATCATTTTACATTTCTTTTTATTCTTTTGTACTTCCCTTTTGGAAATGATTTATGCATTAACTAATATTATATAAGAGCTAGTAACATATATAAAATAAAAAGAAAAAGAAATTAACTTGGTTATTAAATAAAAAAGATTTAAAAAAGAAAACAAAAGACATAGTCACTCATTTAAATGTAGAATTCTTGAGTTTGCAAAAATAAAAAAAATACAAATATATGTATATCATAATAGTATAATATTAAATATTTATTTGACCTTATTTATTTATTTATTTTATTTATATCTTTTTACTTGTACAACTTGTATAAGAAAAATTCTAACCAACACCCCCTATTTTGACTTAATTTCCACCTAATTTTTCTTCAACAACCAAACATCATATACAGTCCAGATTTATCATTTGTTACACAATAAACTTCTATTAAAAAAAATGTACAATAAAATAAAATAATATAATCAAGATTTCTTATTTTTTTTGCCGATTTTATTGCCAAAAAAAATTCTACATCTTAATATTTTTAAAAAAATCCTTGAATTGTTAAACAATGACTGTTTCTTTTATAATTCTTATTTCATTTTTTTTTTGTAAAATATTCATTTGCTTAAAAATATATCTTGAAAGATGACTTCTTAATTATATTTATTTTTATTTCATTTGATTTCTTTTTTTAAAAAAATAATTTAAAAAGGAATAGTTTGTCATGCACACAAAGGGTAGTTGAATTAATCAGACGAGTGGTGGTAGGTAAGGGCCATTTTGAATTTAATAAGAAAATTAGATTTTTATTTAATTTTTTAATCAATCTCGCGATTAATTTAAATTTGTTTGACAAATGAGTTGTTTAAGGAGAAAATCGAAAATGAAAATACTATTTATTTCACTATTATCGATAAATAATATAATTAGTGAGTTATAGATTTCCATCAACTTAAAAAGA